TTGTGAATAAATGGGTTGGAATACCCCACCATGGTCCATCCGTAATGATCATTGAGTGCATCGTCTGAATAAAGTCTGGCTGGAATGCTACAAGTAGAAATACACCTTCCCAGTTAAGTTAGGTGAGTGTCCAGCTGAGCTTTTAGGGGAACGTAACACTGTCACAGATTGAGTGACGCCACAGATTTGTGTGCCTATTCTGTCCATTTCCAGCTCCTTCTTTTATTCTTGTACTCTACCAGAGCAGCTTTGCATGATCAAAAGTTCAAAATAATCCTTTCTTTGATTCTAAGCAATGATTTACATTTGTTTGCACAATCCCGTCAGCGTAGGACATTTTGATAATGTGATGTTGCTCTTTAGCACTTACATCAGCGCGTTGGAGAAGAACCATCTCATCAAAGCCATGATGACGTAGAATGGCTGCAAAAGGGAAAACAAAAAATGAGAACTTTGGTAGAATAAAATCTTAAAAACCATCAGAAGATTTCTTTAATCTTCGGATGTTAACCATGTGTTGGTATAGAAATATACAACAGATAATATCAATAATATAAGAAACAAGCCTCCGTTGTCATCAGTAGCTAAATAGTAACGAGACTCACGCTGAGCAGAGGTCGCGCGCTGCTGGCGTGATGGTGGCCGGTCTTGCACATTGCCTGGTAGTCGAACAACGACACTCTGGAAAAAAGAAAGCTCAGTTTGAATTGTGACAGGAGAAAAGCGTGTTCTATTCTTCATAGTTACCAACATATTTCAAAATAAAAAGAAACATGAGTGGAAAATATGTCTTGAGTCAGTCATACTTTTTAAACATTCCCATCTTGAGCAACGAAGCCATGATGGACCCGTCTACCTCGCCAAAGAAGCGACCAATCTGTGAAAGACGACATGAAGCCAGCAGGCTTTTGTTATTAGAATTCAGCAACATGAAAATTAAGGATCATTTACGGTGTGGAGGAGTTTTACAGAGCTGTAAAACTAACAGCAAACTGGAATGGGGTGTTCATGGACTAAAACTGGATGGTAATAAAACTGTCACCCCTCTGCTGAGCGCCAGTGATACCTGTGAGGCATCTCTGCAGGACCCAAAGGACGCTAAAAGGTAAAACCCACAGCAGCCAGAGCCTGCTCCTCTTGCTGCCATTGGTCAAGAAATACAGTTTCTGCTTTATCGCAAAACTTCAGAACAGTTTCTTTCCTCAGGCCGTGAGACCACTGAATCATCTTTCACACTCTTTTTTTGTTAGTTTCATTTGGTGAAACAACACTAGCATGTCTATGTGCAAGCTGCTGTTTCATAATAATAAGTGATCGTGAATCTCAAACAGCTACATTGGTTTGAAAGAGGAAATGAGGGAACTACAGTCTCTTGACAAGCACCTTTTAAATGACTTTAACTCCATGACAATTTTTGCTGGAGACAAAATTCTAGTTATTCTGGTAAGAATAGAAATTAAACGTTAGGTATATTTTTATCTTTTTGGTATCCCAGTAGCACAAAACATTCACTGGGTACTGCTGTTTGAACACAGGTAGAAAAATATAGTACCATAACTCCCAGACCACTGTGGGCTGGACAGAAAATACAAATGGTTCCTAAAAATGAGAATTATTTTCTAATCTTGCAGCCAAAATTACACAATAACTTACTTGGGTTAAACGGTAAAGTTATCAACTGACCCATCCATCCACCCTTCTCTCCTCTGTTACTCCTGTTATTATTACTATAGTCACCAGAGGGCGCTGTTGCCATAAAATGAAATTCTTGGTCATAATCATGTGCTCAGGCCAAATGACTCTACATAAATGTCGACCAGTAGCCATTTAGCTGGTAATCTAAGTGCATGCACGTCCTTAAAAAGTAGCCTCAAATTAAATTTCCTACACTCCTTTTTCCTGGGTTTGTGGAAAACATTACTCTCTTAGCAGTCGCATCTATTCTAAGACAGCATGCAAATAGAACATGATCGGTCAGCAGGTTTACATGAAGATAAGGAATGTTTCAGACAGATTTAAAGTCACCGCTGCGTTCAGCCTGAGAGTCTGCAGTGTGTCGGCTCTTTCCGGCCCTCAGCAGCAGCAGCAGGACCAGAGTCTCTGAATTATTCAGAGCATTTTGTCTCAGCGGCTCTGTTCACGTTTACAAGCTGCTCTCTGCCCACACTTCATCTCTGTCTGGACGGATTCTCCCAGCAGCCTCGGAGGATTCACAGGTTGCTGAGTGTTAGCAGTTGGATGCTGCTTACACACCAAAGTTGACCCTCTGTTTTTCTGGCAGCAGAAGTTGCAGCAGAGTGTAAACACACTGAACTAAACAAAAGCACAACGAGTGCCAGGAGCTCGGCGGGAGCGCAGCAGCAAAGGCAAGCAGGCAGGTTCAGGTTTCCATGCTGCCTCTGAAGGGCTTCAACCAAAACTGGCTCATTATATTTAACAGGCTGAGAAAACATCCACCAGTAAAGATCAGGATTCATGAAATCATTGTCTAAACAAAAAAGCAGAAACTTTGATTTAAAGCGAAATTAAGGTTTATTGGTGTAAGGTTTATCAGAAGAACAACAGCACGCTTAGATCCTAAGTGTGAACCCTGAATGCTTTCAAAGGTTTCCTCTTTGTGCTCCAGTTTATGTACATGAACGCAGAGTAATTTTGCAGTAGGAAGTATATATATATATACATATATATATATATGAGAAAAAAGTCAGATGAGAACATGGTATTACATTTGAAAATGTGTGAAAACTAAGGAACAACCTACATGACGAAAAAATGAACCCAATGTGAAAAGTGTCAAAACTGCAGTTCCTTTAATGTCCACTAGAGGCTGGAACCTAAACTGAGTCAGTCCCCACAGACTCCCATGTTAAACGGTCCAACTTTATGGCATTAAAAATCAACACATAAAAACAGTTTAGTTCATAGTTACACTTAAAAAGTACGGAGCCCCGCAGGGGACATGGGAGAAAAAAAATTAAGACGGACTTTTGCGAGATCTCGCAAAACTAACTCGGGATCTCGCAAAACTTTTGCGAGATCTTGCAAAAGTTTTAGCCGCATTCTTCGAACGCCGGCTCGAAGCCGACCGGGAGGTCGAGGCACGATGTGCCGGGAAAGCGGTGTTCCTCCCGGCTGTAGTAGGTCTCGACCTCCCGTTAGCTCGAAGCTAAGAAGAATGTGGCTAAAACTTTTGCGAGATCTCGCAAAAGTCCGTCTTAATTTTTTTTTTCTCCCATGTCCCCTGCGGGGCTCCGCAAAAAAGAGAAAACAGTATGATCTCAAATGTATGCTTAACCTCAGATTTTTGCAAGAAAATGTACGGATATATGAGAAGCTTCCAAACATGGTCCAAGAGAGGAAAACACAGGAAGCAGTTAGGAATACCAAAACCTGCCTAAATGTAACAACAGGTGTATGACTTGGCCTCCAAATTCCTTAACCTAATTCTTTATTCAATGCAATCCAGCTTGAGATGGGCTGCAAAAACAAGCCTAGTATCCAATATCTCATATGTCATGTCTTGGTGACCTAATAGGATGATCTGATATGCTCGTGTCGGTGTTGTTCCCACATCATCATAATAAATGTTGTTCCAGGTTCAACATTGCAAGTGACCAATCACATTGTTGTGACATCATACTTTTGCAAGCCAAGCGATTCATTCATTTATGAAATTCCAATGTTGCAAGGACAATATGTATAATGCTTAACGTTAAATAAAGAACAGTATCCTGAAATGCAAAGAATTCAAATTGCTGGATCGGCGGACAGAGGCGGTTTCTCGCAATTTATGTAGATTTTTTAAGGCGTTTTTTTCTGAAGTCGCAAAAGTATGACATCACAACAATGTGATTGGTCACTTGCAATGTTGAACCTGGAACAACATGTATTACGATGATGTGGGAACAACACTGACACAAGGATATCAGATTGTGCGTGACTAATATCCCAGGACCTTTGAGGTCTTCTGAGGTCCTGAGGTATTTGGGCTGTTTTGGTGTCATAAAGTTTAATTCTGAGAGACTAATGTTTTAAAATGTCCAAAGTATGTGCACTCCAACAGTTTCATTCAGTCAGTTTCTACTTTTTTAGTTGTAAGTAGTTTCCAGTAATTATGTTTCCCCTTACAGGGTCGCTAGCAGGCTACAGACTCCAAGACGTGTTCATTTCATCATATTACACAGGAAGTGTAATGTGATGACCTTATAGTTGTACTTTTCAGTCTAACCTGCTTTCAGCCCCGAGGTTGAACACTGTACTCTCACAGCAGGTTCTCAGACAGGATCATTGATCATCACTCGGACGTTTCCTCCACACACGGCCAGCACCACCCAAAACAAGCCTTCTGTTTTGCTTTGTCACCCTGCTCACTACACCTTCTCTTGCTGACCCATTTCTTATAGTCAGCACTGACTTAATTTCTCTGCTGATTAAATATTTACCATGCCCTGCACAGCGGCTTCGGCATCGGGGTGGATTCGGGGCGTTTCCGCAAACTTCCTGCAAATCCCAGAGCTCAGCAAAACATTGAGGAAGTGCTTCATCATAATATCTGCTTAGTAAGACCACTGGGAATGCAGGAGGCATGCAAATAATGAAGAATGAGCTGATTCTGGCTTTAGGGTTACAGAATATTTTGCTGCTGCATGTAGCTGATGTTTCTCCTTTTAATCATACTTGAACGTCTAGTTTTCATTTAGCAGCAAATATCTCACTGCTACTCATCAGATAATGCACCAGTTGAACAAAAACATCCAGTGGCATTGCATCTGCAACAGTTCAACCTGAAAGCTTCTCACCTCCATGGGCACTTGTTCATTATGTGTTTTAGTTCCGTTCTTTTTGTGAGGGACAATCTCAAATCCACAAAAACATTAATCTCATGTTTAGCTAGTAGTCAGCTTCCATCTGCACTTCCTGGACAGGAATGTAGAACAGTATAATACAAATACACACATATACATATACAGAGGGCATTAAACACAAATAGAATGATGTAATAATTAGCCTAACAGCACACTTTAATAAACATAACGAGACAATTTCTCCATCACTGTCCTATCTGAATCCAAACATCACAGGCTGTGTGATATAACCATTTTTAGAGGTTTAGAATTAAACAACAAGGCACTTGCTTCCGCCCTCACACTCGCTCTGCATCTCCATTTTGCTTTCAAAGATCTCCTGCAGCATGACCGAGATACCACCTTTATTCTTTGTACAGGCTTTATAAAGATAGTATAAGGGAGTGACACACCTTTCAGGTCTGAAAAGTGCAGCCAAGGTGGAAAAGGCATGAAATCTGCATTCTTTCTAATGACCAGCAGTGGCCGACTACTCTGGCTGCAAGAAGACTTACGTCTGTGAGATTACAGGCTCTATTTGTAGACATCTTGCTTCATTAAGAGACTTCACTGACCAATCGTGATCTCACGGTGGCTACATCAGTCACAGATATCTGGGTCAAGACTTCCCATTTCCTGTCCCCCGGACACCATTTATGAAATCAGATATGTGTTCATACATGGTGAACAGAAATGCAATGCAACTGCTACACAACTACAGACTGCTGAAACATGAAACATTAGAAGCAGCCCTAAAACTCTCATCCCTGCCTTCATGGCCAGTTTGAAGAAATTAATTTTGATAATTTAAGATAAAGTAACTCACTTTGGCTTTTGTACAGATGTGTTTAAATCAAGTTTCCTGAAGATTTTAAATAGAGTGTCCCAAGGCTTAATTTATAGGTCCCATTTAATTTTTTTTATTAATAAAATAGGAAATAATATGCCTACAGATAAAAAGAGCACCTTTATGCTGATGACACCATATGTTGTTCTCTGAATTAAACTGCTACAAGTTGCCTTTCTGCAGCTA